CCGGGACCGTGGTTCGGCAATGGCGTCTTCCCCAAAGGAGGCTGAGCGGGAGCGTGGCGGGCTCGCGGCCTGGTCATGCCCACCTGGGCAGATGTTGGTGAAAGTTGGGCACAGAAGGAGGCCCAGAGGCAGCGGGGCGGCCTGTGGAGTGGTGTGAAGGACGGCTGGTCCTGCAAGCAATGGGGAAAGACTCTACTCTATAAACCTTTGTAGTTTATATCTTTAAACTAAGTCAGACTGATCAAGTCCCTCTGTCCCAGAGGATTATGAATTAGTACACTGGGAGCAGTGGAATTGACTAGAACAATTTATTGGAGAAATTTCTGAAGGTGTTACGGAGATAAAATGCTCCCAAATACAAAATGTGGTTAACGTGGCTTTGAGTGCCTGGGAAGACGAAGAATTTTAGACCTCAGCGTAGAGCACAGGACTCTTTTATACAGTGAGAATTGCTACAGTGACTGAACTGAGAACATAAAGTTTAGCATTGAAATGCTGACGTATGGCTAGTGAGATGAATTTCTAGACATTCATAAAGGAGGGTTTTAGTGAATCTGGTGAATGTGGCAGCTGAAGGAAAGCCAAACAGTGAATGTTCATGGCAAGATAGCAGAAGAAAGAGATAGGTCATACCTACCTAACCCCAAAGGATGGTAGAAAGGGAAAAGAAGAAAAATTAAACTAACTGGATACGATACTGGTCTGCTGCAAATTAGACCCGTTTCTTCTTGATGCCTACAGACTGCCTAGCACAGTTTGCTTTCGTACTTAAATAAGCACATTGTAATAAAAGAGACAAGACCTCTCCCCTCATCTGCACTCGGTGTGCTCTCTGTGGCCACGATGGAAGTTTGTTGACATGCAGCACAATCATCAGTGATAGCGATTTGATAAATAGGAGAATGTAAGACTTGAAAAGATTCCTCAGTCAACCAGCCAAATACGCCTCTCCTTAGTCCTACAGTTTCACATGGGCAGAGCACTAGTCAAAAAAAGGTGAGAAAATACTTAAGAGGTAAAAAATAGCCTGGTTTTTCCTCTTCTTTTTTTTTTTACCACTACATACATTCAACTCTAGTTTATTAATAACATGATTTTGTTGGTAGTGTTCAAATGCATTTAATGTTGATAATGTTAAATTCTAATTTTGCATATTTTACTGAAATATTTGTGATGGTGTTAAAGTATCTTTACTGATACTGGCTTTTCATGCCCATAGTTCTGAATCATTATATGTGTTTTCAAAGCCAGCAAAGTGTTTCTTACTTGGTTTTATGGTGGGGTTTTTACTTTCCTAGTTGCCTGGTTTCCATGTTGTGAAAGATTTTGCCTGTGCTCACTTTCTAATGCACTACATGACAAGAAGTAGTTTTGTAGTAACCAGAAGGTTCTTAAATAGTTGGCTGTTATCCAACTGTTTTAATTAGCAACTGTTTCATAAGCATTGTAATGAGGACATATACTCACCAGAAAGTGGGTTGAGACAATGATTTTTTTTTTCCTCAGAGCATCAGGTTTCATGATCACAGTACTGTCTAACTGGGTTTATGGCAATTGCTTCAGACTCAAAACAAGCTGTGTATTTCCCAAGCACTCGTGTCGAACAGCGGCAGCTTCTGGGGGCGAATAAATCTCATCACAGGACAGCTCTGGGTGAACTTGTGCTGTCACTGGGGTCTGGGACGTGGCTTCACAAAACGTGAGGGCAGGCTGTTATACAGATTAAATAACGTGTATGAGTAAGGTTGAAATTTTTTGCTAGATCCCATACAGTGTTTACTGTAGATGCACAGTAATTCTTCTTTTGTAAAATAACATGGAGGTTCTATTGCAAGGCAGGTCAGGTGTGTGTTCTGTAGGAATGCTGGAAGAGGTTTCTGTCCTTAGGGCAAAAAAACCCATGAAGTTATGCTAGAGAAGGTAATACCCCCAGAAATACCGTAGGTCTGAGGACAAGCCAGGCACCCCTGGTTAGAGAAAAGCCTGGCTCTGTGATAAGATTATTCCAGTATTGTTTCCTGGAGAGTTGGCAGCACCTCCCATGTGTTTGTACAGTAATTTTTATGTACCTGTGCAAGCTCTTCCTGCATGAGGGCGTCTGCCTAAGCAGTTCTGAAGGTACAGGTATAAAGCTGTGTTTCTGCTACGTATTTGCTACCTATTTACCTTTACCTGTTATCTTCTAGACTGTGATCTGTTTGCCAGATGCTGTCTCTGTTCTTTCCTGTGTGCTACTTAGAACACAGGACTTTAGATCTAGACAGGGTTCCTGGATTTACCAGAAAAGGAGAAATTTTTGTAGTAGGAGGACACCCACCTTACATGTTATGATAAAGATTCTTTGGAAATTTGTGTCTTTCTAATTGTAGAGGAGAACTTAGAAAACACTTGGCCACAGTGCTGCAGATTTTATCGACAAACTTTTATTTTCTATTTCTCTGTTCTTTCCTTTTAAGATATATGCATTAAAACTCACAAAATATGCATGGGCAAACTCAATTTTAATACTTTTTTATTGTAGTACTATCATTTACTTTGGTAAATTTGTATCCCTGTTTAAAGTGCCTTGAAGCAATTAAAACTTAGTTTAAATTCAAGTATTGTAAAATGTACAGAGTATAAGCACGAAAAAAGCTGCATAGTGAAAATACTAGAGCAGGTGAATACATTCAGGATGCCAAATACTCAAGTATTAACAACACCGGGTCAGTATTAGGGTTAATGATCATTAGCCAGCTTCGTACAGTAGATGCAGACCTGTGGGCAGTACAGCCACATCGTTCTTACAGTTAACAAAAGATAGAAGCAGAAATGAGCACAGAAAGTATTTGTAGTACCAGGTTTTGTAACACATGCCGTAAGTGAGAAGGCAAATACTGACACTTAATCTCTTACATGCTGCTGGGAGCCCAGCAAACGGTCTGTGGCTTTCCTGGGTTCTGAGGTGGGAGTCTGACATTCATGCCTCTTAAAAGTCCTCACAGACAATCCTTCTTGTCTTCATACAGCTTTGTTTGACTTTGTTTGAAATTTGTCTGAATGTTATAAAGAAGGCTGGCTGAGTTTGTATTTCTGTTTTTTTTTTTTCTGTGTAAGACCCAATGCCATCTGCTGTACTTTGCATTTGCCCACAGCTACTGTGAGTAGTAGTGGGGGATACTTGATGGGTGTGGTAGAATTTTGCTTTGAATATGTAGCCCTTATATTGTCTACTTAATTTGAAGGAGTAATAGCTGTACCCTGGCGTAATGGTGACTTGTCACGTGTGCTTGACCAAGAGCATAACTGACCTGTAATATTTGTCAGAGGAGGAATTTGTTGAAGGTATTTTAATTCACGTTGTTATAATAAACAAAACTAATTCAATACCAGAATTTAAATGGTTGGTTGACTCCTCACATTTGAACAATTAAAGAGGATAATTTTACTTGCTACGGCTAAGAAAGTTGTAGTACAGGTATGTGTGGGCATGAAAGAGAATGGTGGATTTTCAGTGGAAATTACTGCTTCAAAATCAGTGGAACAATATGGCTAAATATTATTGGTTTGTTACAGCACTTCTAAAAATGTGTGCGTAATTATGTAAGGGAAAGACAAGTTTGCTCAGTTGTTGCCTAAAAATATTAATTCAAAAATACCAGCCACTTTAAAAAGAAAACTCTTTGTTAATAATGTATGCATTTTAAGAGCATCTGTGTATGTAGTTTTTGTTGTTAGAAAGTGTTACTTTAAAATATATTTCAAGAAGTATGACAGTTGTGATATAAATTATTACACGGATTATCAGTCATTAGATGTATGCAATACTGAATAATTAAGAGAATGAAATACGCGTTTCTCATTTCTAGAGAGAGAAAGCAATTTCTCTTTTACAAAGGCAGAATATGTCAAAGTATAAAGTTACAGTCTAATTTTTGTAATATTTGGTGAAATCCTACAAAACAACAACAATAATGAGAAAATTAAAGGGCTGCACCCAGAGTATAAAACTAGTGGAAGTTAGGTGTCCTGGAATCTTAACTCCCTTGCTCCTTTCCCTTTCTTTTAAAGGACTTGTAGGTGTTTATTGTATTAATCCGAGTACTTAGTGAGATTTTGTAGTCATAGCAAGACAGCGACTGGTGTGAGTCCGTCTGCTGTTGATGTCCAAAGCCTGCTGGAGATGAGCTTTGGGTTCATTTGCTGGAGGTTAAGGTTTGATGGACGGAATACTGCAAGATCTCCTCATTACCAGCCTGACTTCAATGTCGGGAAGAGTTTTCTGTTTTGTGTGTAAACATCCTTCATCTGTCGCTGCTAGGTGGAGGTCAAAGCGCAATGACACGGATTTTTTCCTCAAGCGAGGGTTGTCCTTGAAGAAAGAACCTTCCCATTCTTTAATGACTTCATCCACTTTTTCTGTCCTGAAACAATAATGCAACTGTAGTTATAATATGAATTATATCATAATATGAATTATATGACTGCTTTTAAAATGTAGAGAGAAATTGCATAATGAAGTGTCAAGTTATTTTAGATGGGTACTGAGACACTAGAAAGTTTCTTTATTTTTTCACAGGTTCATTCTCCAGAAAAGCTAAATAAAGGGTTAAGGCTCATTACATTCTTGGTTTTGTACTTCTAAGTAGACACAGATTCAAAACCACTGCTCTGAACACATCAGGCAGTTTGTTTCCAAGGAGAAAGTCTGGAACTCAAGCTCAAAAACTTTGCAAGAAACCTCTGTAGCACAGTGGGCAGGACAGAATTCCTGTGTCTGAAAGCCTTCAAAACAGGGAGGAGAAAAATCTAGTTCAGATCCAAACCTCGCACTGTAGCTCTACGTTAAATTAAAAAAAGAAAAAAAAGGCAGAAGTAAAATACGGAGCCTGGAAACCCCAACTGATTCAGTAATAGTTAGGCACCCAAATCCCATTGGTTTGATCCTCCAAGTGTGTGTCAGGGTCCAGATCTAAGTGCAGCCAGGCGATCAGCCCCACGCGGGCGGCCAGACTGGGAGGTGCCCACAGCTCCGGTGGGGGAGCAGGCGGGACTGGGAGGTGCCCGCAGCTCCGGTGGGGGAGCAGGCAGGACTGGGAGGTGCCCACAGCTCCGGTGGGGGAGCAGGCAGCCGCACAGACTGCGTGCAGTGGACAGCACGGTGGCCTTAATTTGTTATTGGAGTTCCTACACGTTTTCACCAGCAGACTCCCGTTAGTGTTAGAGACACTGCACACTGCAGTTTGTTTTAAATGTCACGTTAAAGGCTAGTCTACAAAAGAGCTTAAAGAGCAGCAGGGAAAAAAAAAAAAAGAATGAGGCAATCCAGTACTATTAAAGTAATTTAGGTTGAATAATAGACACTAACAGACTTTCACATGTCCTCGTAGGAGCCAAGCTTTCAGTTCCCTGTTTGGTAATTGGTGAAATACAGGAATTTCCAAATAGCAAGTTAAAGCAGCCAAGCCTGAGCTGATGTGCATAAATCTGCCCCACAGGGACTTCACTGCTATCCTACAGGCTCTTTCAGCCTTAACTAGATGAATTATTCATAGTTTCATTCTTAACAGAAATAGAAATTACAAATCAGAAGCATCGTGATGCTATTGTTAGCTTATGAAGTGAATGCTAATAAAAAGAACTTTAAATTTTCATGCATTGTTAAAACATGCCATTCAATATACCTTGAAGAACTATCACTGTTATTCTGAAGCTTCTTGGCTGATATATAACAGATGATAAATAAAGGAAAGCTACTGAAATGCTAATGCCCACCATTTACTTTCAATTGTTATTTTGTTAAATTCACGTTTATCTTACTGTACAGTGCCATGAGCTTCAGCACTTTCCTTCATAATATTTCCATCTAGGATTGCTTGTTTTGTCATCAGTTCCACCTTCTCAGTTTCATGCTTCTTTGCACCATCTGTAGAAGAAAATGCAGCTATAGTAGGCATGCAGCAAAGGAAGGTCACAATGCAGGACCTGGAGGCATTTCTCCTCCTTCTGCACTGGAAGAAGATCCTTTTGTAATCTTCAGTAATTTGTCAGTAGTTAGAAACCTCCTTTGGGGCCACAATCCCCTGGGGGCAAAGTGTCTAACAGCTCACCTGAAGGCAGCATAAAGGTGATCTTGCTGGTGGTTGGCTTTTTGTCATCCTTCTGCTCAGGTACAGAGCAACGAAACCTGCAAAATAGAAATTACTGCAGTCATCTAATAATACTGAATTACTTTTAAAAAGTAATTTAAAAATATGAGACCCATGAGAAGTTCTCTTTGACTGTAGTAACTGCTTGGATTTCTTATTCTGAGTATTGAACTGAAGAAAGTTGCAGAAAACATCTGTGTAATTTTTTCCTTATTTTCGGATGGTTTTTCATCAGGTTGTTGGGTGCCAGGAAGACATTTAATTTCATTAATGCTGAAGTTAAGTTACATTGAAACCATTTCTAAGGATTATATGCTGTAATTTTTTAATGACCGGTTTACGCATTTACAATTCTGGTGATTATTTCAATGAGAAGCTCTGAAATGGAGGATAACTTTTGAGTACTTTTTCTCTAAACACCAAGTACCTGTTCTCCTCCTGCTCAAGCAGACTGCGGTATGTTGCTATCTCCTCCTCCAGCTTCATTCTGGTGTTCAGGAGAATTTCGTGCTCCTGAAGCTGTTTCTCAATACCTCTTCTCACTTCCAGCAGCTCTTTCTCTAAGCCTTCAATCTCACCTTCTAAATTCTGTAGTTGCATGTGGTACTGTTGCTCTGTGGCACGCAATGAACGTTCCAAACCCTTTTCCTGTGAAGTTTAACTCACATTTTAAGATTTGCAAAGCATATGGAAAAAGATGTTATGTGTGTTTCTTATTAATGATCTGTGTATTTTTACATCAGTTCTTTTAAGAACATACTTTAGGAACAGGAGTAAAGCTTTCAAGATAATACTTTTGCTGAGAGATTTTCCACTAAAATTGGTAATAATTTAAGATAGGATAAGACAATGTATCTGCCTGGTACCAGCAATGCATTCCCATTGACTTTACAGACCTCTGATTTTACCTGTGTAATATCCCTCCCAGCACTGTAGGGAACCTGAGTGGTCTTGGTGCTGGATTACCCAACTGAGTAAATTGCTGATGTATTTTACCATGAATGAATTGATAAATTTGGTTCACACACTAAAAAAAAGTTATAAAGCTGATGTGACTTGAGTAGGCAGAATGACCAGGAACTTGATGAGGGAATATCCTGCACACAGATGTGTGGCAGTTGTGAGCACGGGCAGACCCGTGTCGGTGAGGGGCAGGTTCTAGAGCTGGTGTGAGCATGGGCAGACCCATGTTGGTGAGGGGCAGGTTCTGGAGCTGGTGTGAGCACGGGCAGACCCGTGTTGGTGAGGGGCAGGTTCTGGAGCTGGTGTGAGCACGGGCAGACCAGTCTCACTGAGGGGCAGGCTCTGGAGCCGTGAGGGGGCAGGTTCTAGAGCTGGTGTGAGCACGGGCAGACCAGTCTCACTGAGGGGCAGGCTCCGGAGCCCCACACAGCACTGTTCTGTGAGCGAGCGGCCGTGTGTTTGTTGCTGGTGGGTCCTGCCCCGGGTGATGAGCTGGCAGCCCACCACACAGCTTGGCCTTCTGGACACGCTCTAGTTCCGCTCTGCAGTGCATGTGAAGCTGACCTGTGGAATCCTTTTCATCAAGGAAAAGAACTTTTTTCCCCCAGGAGATTCCAAGTTTCCCTCTCGGATGCTTACCACAGCGTGGAGAGATTCAATTTCGATCTGCATGTGGTGCCACTGCCGTCTCGCTTCGCAGAGTTCTGCTCTGGCTGCCTTCAATGCTTCTGCATCTTTGTCCATTCTTTTAATTGTGGCTTCTTCAAGCTACAGGGAATATAAAAAAAGATAAAAACATTTTTTTAAAACATTCAAATAATGAAAATAAAATAGATACATAAAAATAGATATTTGGAATTTTTTTAGAGTTGTATAAATTTGTTCACGCTAACAGTGATGAGTTAATATGTTATGTGCTGTGTAGGTGGGATGCCCTTGCCATGCTGTGTGTGATGGGAAGTAGCTGGCCACATCTAGATCCCTCACATACTTGTTACAGAGGAGTTCCCAGACAAATGAACCAGTTCTGCTGAGACTTCATTCACCTCTAGAGTAAATGGGCTTAGCTTCATGGGAGCTGGAGGAACTGCAGTCAGTTCAAGCTTCCAGGTTTGAACAAAGTTCTTTGTTTTTACTGTATTTTTGATTTCTAAGAACAGCTTAATAGAGAGGGAGTTCTTTTGAGTGGCTGCATGAATATATTGCAGTCAGCTGTTGCAGTAATCATGTTTTTGCCTGGTCTAGACACTGACTAGATTTCACATTGTCATTTGAGAGCAAGTACCTCCAGTCACTTAAATATAAACAGCATCTGTATCCAAACCTGCAACTTTTCCTTGTCCCCCAAGGACAGGCAATTTAAGATTTACCTGCCACAGGAAGGAAAAAAATGTCATGTTCCCTGAGTATATGCTCTCACCCATGTTAAATGTGACAGTTCAAAAGTGATGTGCCTGTTCTAAGCTTAAGCCTTATCTAAAATAGTATTTGAGATAATGTAACTTCCAGAATGATTGTTTTGCTTAGGAGAGTTATTTTGTTTCTGAGTTTTACTGCAAGCAGTGAAGATGCCATAATCACTTGAAACAATACATGCGCTTTGCATATTTACTGCTTTATATAGGTTCTTATGATGCCATCAACTCTAAGAAAATAAACTCTATAATTCAGGTACTATGAAGCAAGTAAAATAAGTCACATCCATCCCCTCCCTCTGCCCCAAACATACTGACCTGTTGTAATTTTACCATCCTTCAGGTGAAAAATCTGGGTTTGGCTAATTCACAAGTAAACACCAAGTCATCTTTGCTTACTCTTTTTTTGCCTGGGTCCTGCTGCAGAATTCATGTGGCAAGGTTATAAAAATACCCATTGGCTGCATTGTGCTAAACACAAATGTAAACTGGGCTTAACTGTCTAGTTCTTAGCTGCTGTGTGTCATTGGCTTGCTGTGGGGATCAGCCACACTGCAGCAGTCTGGCCTGGGGTTAAAACAAACCTCCAGAATTTATGCAATGCCTAACAACTACAGCAAGGTGATATAATACCTAATTTTCATTCTTTTTTTTTTGTATGTAAAGCTATAATAGCAGCATTGTGCATTGGTAACAATAAATTTGTATGAAAGAACAAATCAGATTTGCTGAAGAGTGTGACATAGTTTTGCTGTGACCAATATGAAACAGTTCCTGAAAAGATATGGTTTTCTTCTGTATCAGTGCTAAAAATGGCTCAGCCTTCCCTATATAAATAGAGTCTTCACAGCGCCATTGACTGTCAAGAGTCTCTCCTCTGGGATAACTAAAGGCTGCTGGAGGTTACCGTGCTCCAGCATATGTCAGCATTCCTTAACCCACAACAATGTCACTGTCGCAGGTACAGCAACCCTCCAGTTTCCAGTTAGGGTGAATGTCATGCCCTGACCACACGCTATTGCTGATCTTCTAGCTCACACCTTGCTGCAGGGGAGTCCCGACCCTTCCCCAGCATGTGCTGCGCTGCAAAGGCGATCCCGTCCCCGGGGCCGAGCCGGACCGGCACACCCGGCCAGCCG